ATGGCGTCTCGGAGAGGAAAAATTGCCATATTTTAGAGACTAGCCATGCACTACTTCTTGGCACTAATGTACCTAATCACCATTGGGATGATGTCGTTGCTACTCGCTGTCTATTTATTGAACCGGATGCCTTCAAAAGTGTTGAGTTTCAAGACCCCATTATAGGTCTTGTCAACTCATGTGTCTCTGCCTTTAATTCTCATGCTTCCTCCTCGAGTGTTTGGATGTGTTGCATTCGTCCATTTACATAAAAACCAATAGATCAAACTCGGATCCATGTGCTATTTGGTGTGTGTTTTTAGGCTATGGAGTACATCAAAAGAGGTATAGGTGTTTTGATCCTATCACTAAACGCACCTATATCTCCATGGATGTTACATTCCTTGAATCCGAGCTTTATTTTCTAAAAGATAGTATCTAACTCAACTCTTCGTGGGAGACTATGATTGAAGAGCCGAGTTGGTCTTTAGAAATGGAGACTATAATAGGTGAAATTTGAATTGATAAAGAAGAAGAACTATCCGCCAATGCTAGTAAAGAAGAACTACCCGCCGGTGAAGACCGTACTACACTAAGTGTTCACCAACCCGATGAAGAAGCACAAGTGACCCCTTCTCTCATCTTGGTACTCGAAGAATCTCCTTCAACCGAGAATATTCCTAAGGTAAGCCCCATTATTACTCATTCACATAATAACAACCCGGAAGTTTCTAGCGTTTTTAGATATGTTTTACCCTTTAGACAGAATCGTGGTAAACCACCCAAGAGATACTCTCCGATGAGGAAGAAAGAAGGACTAGATATCCAATTGTAAATTACGTGTCCACTCGTGGACTGCCGAAGAACATCCAAATGTTTACACAAATTTTATCCTCCCATCACATCCCAAGCAATATTGAAGAAGCTCGACTTATCCGAATTGGGTACAAGCAATTAAAGAGGAACTAGAGGCTTTACAAAAGAATAAAACCTAGAAGTTAGTTCCACTACCCAAAGGAACAAAACTTGTGGGATGTAAGTGAGTGTTTTCTATAAAGTACAAAGCAAATGGATCGATTGATAGGTACAAGGCAAGGCTTGTGGCTAAGGGATTCACACAAATATATGTTGTAGATTACTCGCAGACTTTCTCCCCGCTTGCAAAATTGAATACCGTTAGGGTGTTACCGTCCTTGGTAGTGAACTTAGACCGGCCATTACACCAACTCGACGTGAAAAACGCCTTTCTCTATGGCAATCTTAAAGAATAAGTCTACATGGAGATTCCACCAGGTTACATTGTCTCCACGAAGCAAAGTATGTGTGCAAATTAGAAAGAGCTCGTATGGGTTAAAACAATCACCTCGGGCATGGTTTGATCGATTCAACTCTACTATGAAGAAATATGGCTATCATCAAAGCAATTCGACCACACACTATTTCTAAAGCGTTGAGAAGGGAAGATGAGTGCCCTACTAGTTTACGTTGATGACATGATTATCACTAGAGATGGTGTTGAGGAAATCTCCAAACTTCAAAGAAAATTATCAACTCGAATTCGAAATGAAGGATTTGGGAGGACTCAAATATTTTTTAGGGATTGAAGTGGCAAGATAAAAAAGAGGCGTATTTCTTTCCCAAAGAAAATATGTGTTGGATTTGTTGATGAAGTGCGACTATTGGATTGCAAGCCAACGGATACTCCAATTGTTCAAAACCATGGACTGGGATTGTGTTCGGATCGGTACCAACTCACAAAGGAAGATACCAAAGGCTAGTGGGAAACCGATTTACTTGTCACACACTTGCCCCGACATTGCATATGCGAGTAAGCATAGTGAGTCAATTCATACACTCTATGAAGAAAAGTCATATGGATGTAGTGCTTCGAATCCTTCACTACTTAAAGGGTTCACTCGGGAAAGGGTTGTTGTTTACTAAAAATGGCCATTTAAAAGTCGAGGGCTATACGGATGCGGATTGGGCAAGGAATGCTATAGATCGAAAATCAACTTTAGGATACTTCACTTTCATGGGAGGAAACTTGGTTACATGGAGGAGCAAAAAGCAATCGGTAGTGGTGTTGTCAAGTGTCGAAGTCGAATTTAAGGGTATGGCTAAAGGACTCCGTGAGCTTCTTGGCTCCGAAATTATTAACGAGAGATGGGTTTCCGTCCGGGATTTGAAATGGATTTATTTTATGACAACAAGGCTAATATTGATATTTCTCACAACCCAGCTCAACATAATCTCACAAAGCATGTTGAAGTGGATAGGCACTTCATAAAGCAAAACCTTGAAGAAAAATTCATTCGACTTCCATTTGTTAAATCGGAAGACCGGCTAGCGGATGTACTCACCAAGACAAGTATCTAATAGAAAATTCCAAGACTCACTTGACAAGTCGGGTGTCCGAGATATCTTCGCACCAACTCGAGGGGAGTGTTAGCGTGAGTCAACGGAACCTCTCGTATATAGAAACTACAACTGCAGTGATTCCTTAATTTAGGGGTCTTACTCATTTCTTGCCTCACATCTTGTATAGCCAAATATAGATCATAAAATCTCTCCTTGTACTTGTATATATTTCGATACCAATGATGAATAAAAGTAGATCGGATTGCTATGTTTAACAATAAATTGGCAAGAACGCGAGCAAATTAAGAAAAGGTTAGTTCTTTGGTAAAAATATTTGCAAGTTGATTACTGCTAGGAACAAATTTGATAGTAATAGCATCCACCAAACATGCTCATAGACAAAATATAAATCAACTTTCTAATGTTTAGTACGAGCATGATTAATCGAAATCAACAAGTTATGTTATCATTATATTACCATAAAAGACCTCAATAGGTAGCTAATGTTGAAGATAAAGATCATGAAAAAGATATCGAAACCAACATAATTCAATAATAATAATAGCAAGTGCATCGTACTTCAATTCAGTACTATTTTGAGAAATAATGTGTTGCTTCTAAACCATCTAAAATACCAAATTATGACCCAAAAAAAATCACAAAATTCTATAGTGGATCATGATGAATAATGCCTTTAAGGTGGTGTAAGATTCTCTTATCAAAGTGCCAATGAATATCGGGAGGATCATGCATATACCGATAAAAAATAGTAACCATGCGAGCAATATTAGGATGAGTAAATGTAAAATATTTTAGACCTCCAACAATATGATGATATAAAGTGGGATCTCCCAAAAAAAAAATATCATCCTTAGTAGACAAAAGACTATGAGTAGTGGTACATGTAGAAAATGGCTTAAATCTAACATGTTAACTATTTGAAGTTACTCATAAGCATATTTGAATTGAGATTTAAATAAACTATTCACTATTTTGCTGCACATTAATACCTAAGAAAAAAAATAATGATCCAAGATCATTTACAACAAATTCAAATTTAAGAAGTAGAAGAGAAAATTGTGAGAATTATTCCATCCGCATAAAGGATATCATAACCAAAAATTTACCCTCCCGTTTTATTTCACAACTTTTATCTTTACAATTTTTATCTTTATTGTTATTATTATTATCATTAATTTTGGTTCTACTTAAATTTTGTTTGAGATTTTTAGTATAATTTATCCTTTATTTTATCATTAAAAAATCAACATTTTTTAAAAAAGAATAAAACATAAAAATTAGGTTAATTTCCTTTTATTTTATTTTATTTTGCATAAAACAATGAAAATAAAAAAAAACCAAAAAAAAAAAATACAAACATGTTTAATTGTTGAGAAAACAAAATTAGGAGTACAATTGAAAAGAAATGAAAGCTAAAATTGAAAGGAATTGGGGTGTAATTGAGCAAAATAGAAATTAGAATTGAAGAAAAGTAGGGGTGTAATTAAACAGAATAGAATTTGAAATTGAAAGAAAACAGGGATGCAATTGAAAAAACACAAACTAAAATCAAGGGACATTGGGGGTGTAATTGAACAAATCAAAAGAATAAAAACTGAAATTGAGGGATGGAACAATATAATTGTGCAAAATGGAAAGAACAAAGGACCAAAATGATGTGTCAGGGGGTATAATTGAGTAGAAATTAAACTTCACAAGGATAGAGATAGAAAATGTCAAGAGTCTATGATTTCGACTAACGCTAGCTAGGATACATGCTACAAAATTTGCAAATAAAATTAGGACTGTGACTTTAATCTATATGGCTTGAATATTATCAATAAAAGAAATAATACATCTTCAGAATCAAATATCAATTATTAAGCTGCTGAACGAATTCGATTAAATAAAGTTTTAAATGCAAATAATCTATCGAAAATCTTATATATATATATATATATATATATATATATATATATAAGTCTCTATATGTGAAAATTAACTAAATTTTCCCAAACCGTTCAAATAAAACACAAAATTATTTGCTAAAGTGCATAGATATAAACTACTTCATTCTCTTATTGCTCCTCTACTAAAGAGAACCATTAACTCTTAAAATGATTTGTTGTCCCAAATCAAGTTCCATATAAATTGGGGATAGAAGAGGGGTTTAAGAGGTGAAGTGAGGAGGACAAATTTTCAAGAAAAAAGAAAAACTTGACTGTACCACTTGAATCTTAAAATCATGTTATAGCTAGAGAGGTGAAATTTTGAGAAAATTTTAAAATATCAAAACTAAATAATTAATTTTTGAAACATAAAAACTAATTAATTTGTTTCTTAAAACTAAAAGGATTAATTTATAATTTACTTGAATAATTTTTCTCTTCTGCTTCAGTGGGATCTTAAAAAAAAAAAAAGAAAAAAGAAAAAGAAATACTGCCACCGTTTTTGTTCCTGCCCAATGGATGCAATAAAATTGAAAAAGAAAAGAAAGATCCAAGAAAAACTAGACAACACTTAACGCGTTGAATTTTTTTTTTTGGAGAAGAAAGACTGCGACCTTTTTTGAATTGAATAGTCAAAATCATCCACAGCAGAGCTCTATAAATACACGTATATACCTCCTCCTTCATTCCATAAACCAGAAGCGGAAAAACAAAATGAAGTTTCAGGCCCTGATCATTCTCATCCCCTTAGCTTTCTTGCTAGGAACCACATTGGCAGAACAATGTGGAAGACAAGCTGGAAATGCTTTATGTCCGAATGGACTATGTTGTAGCCAGCATGGTTGGTGTGGCACAACAAATGACTACTGTGGTGCGGGCTGCCAGAGCCAATGTCCTGGTAGCTCGACCCCAACACCCTCTACACCAACTCCTACTCCTAGTACTGGCAGCGGCGATGTTGGCAGCATAATCACCCCAGCTATTTTCGATCAAATGTTGAAGTATAGAAATGATGGAAGGTGTCCAAGTAATGGGTTCTACGCTTATAATGCTTTTATTTCTGCTGCTCGGTCGTTCAATGGCTTCGGCACAACTGGTGATGCTACCACACGTAGAAGGGAGCTTGCTGCTTTCTTGGCTCAAACCTCTCATGAAACCACAGGTTAGTAATTAAGTATATTTGTCAAAGAGTTGTAGGCTAGCTAGCTAGTATAATTGCTTAACTATATATCAATTTAGGGTATGTTACTAACATATATATGCAAGTCTAATCGGTGTAGGTGGATGGCCAACTGCACCAGATGGCCCATATGCATGGGGATATTGCTTTGTTAGAGAAAATGATCGTCAGACTCAATGTTCATCAAATGAATGGCCATGTCCTGCTGGTAGGCAATATTATGGCCGAGGCCCAATTCAACTTACTCAGTAAGTTCCGCGTTCAATTAATGTAATTTTGATGACCAAATTCAAAGAAACAGAAGCTGACTTTGACTGTTGACTTTCTTAGCAACTACAACTATGGCCTAGCTGGTCAAGCCATTGAGGCGGATCTCATAAACAACCCGGATTTGGTAGCAACCGACCCGGTTATATCTTTCAAGACAGCCATGTGGTTTTGGATGACCCCGCAAGCAAACAAGCCATCAAGCCATAACGTTATCATCGGACAATGGGGGCCATCTGACGCAGACAGAGCAGCCAATAGGGTCCCAGGCTATGGTGTGATCACAAATATAATCAATGGTGGGCTAGAGTGTGGGCAAGGCGCTAACGACAAGGTGGCCGATAGGATTGGGTTCTATAGGAGGTATTGTGACTTACTGGGCGTGAGTTACGGGGATAACCTCGATTGCTATAATCAAAGGCCTTTTGCCTAAGTTCTTAATTGGGTATTAATAACATAAGTCTGGTCGAGTTGTAATAAATAAAGAGAATAACAATACTACGAATTTTCTAATAACATTATTTGTTACCTTCATTCTCTGTAAAAGAAAACAATTTATGGTTTACAAAATGTTGGACACTAGCTAGTTTGAGATTGACTGGGCAATTTATGGTTTACCTTCTTCTCTTTCTGCTACCTCTCCTCTCTCTACTATGCGAGCAATGTTGTCCTGTAAAAATAACTTGTTAATATCCTTTCCTTGGTCATAAAAAGGGAAAAGTCTCTTGGCTTACTAGAGGACTAGCTAGATCAATAAACCAACTACTCTAATGCCGAATTATATGCATGAAAAGTTCTATGGAGGAACAAAAAATTACTAAGAATCTAATTAACAATGCATGGCGGGTCTCAAAATAGCCAATCTTGATTTCAAAACAAAGCTGTAGAAACCATGACATGATCCATGGGCTTTAAAGAAGTTCAATAATCTATATCTCCACCCAAACTGGCCCATATCAATTATTCACCACCCATAAACCCCACAAAACCCTAAATCTATGTCTGAAACTAAAACAACCAAAAACCAGAAATACAAACAGCAACAACAGCAGCATCTGTCATCATCAAGAACAAAGCTACAGAAATGGGAAAAATCCCACGTTCATTGCGTTCTGCAATTCCATCAACATCATTCATCAAGAAAGCACCTTCTATCCCAACAGAAATCCCAAATCCACAACAGCAGCAACAACCCCATTACTTTCCCAAGAAACCCTCCAAGAGAAATTCCCAACTTTCCAAGAAACCCCAAGAAACTCAAACCCCACAACCCCACAGATCACCCTTTAAAACTCCATCTCTAAATGAAGCAAAAAAGCTATTCAATTCCTTCATATCAACTACCAAATCCCTACAAATGGACGGCCTTCGTTTGCACAACTCTTTCCTTAAATCCTACACTTCTATCTCCACCCTTGACGATTCCATTTCTCTCCTTAATCACATGATCAAGTCCCTCCCTTCTTTATCACCTGACCGATCCACTTACCATGTTTTGCTTTCGCAGTCTTGCAAAGAACCTGATAGTTCACTATCCTCTGCTCAGAAAGTTTTGAACTTGATGGTTAATAATGGGTTTGAGCCTAATCAAGTTACTGTTGATGTTGCTGTTAGGTCTTTGTGTTCTGTTGGGAAAGTAGAAGATGCTGTTTTATTGGTAAAGGAATTTTCTTCCAAGCACTCAAAGCCTGATACTTTTACTTATAATTTTCTTGTCAAGTGTTTATGTAAGAGTAGGATTTTGAATAATGTTTATAGTTTTATCGATGAAATGAAGAATAGTTTTGATATAAATCCTGATCTTGTAACTTATACTATATTGATTGATAATGTTTGTAATGCAAAAAATATTCGTGAGGCGGATAGATTGGTGGGTGTGTTAAAGGAATGTGGGCTAAAGCCGGATGCCTTTGTTTACAATACGATCATGAAAGGTTATTGTATGTTGAATAAAGGGATTGAGGCTGTTAGGATTTATAAGCAAATGAAAGAGGAAGGAGTGGAGCCTGACCTTGTTACGTATAATACATTGATTTTTGGGTTGTCGAAGTGTGGGAGAGTCATTGAAGCTAAGAAATTTTTGAAAGTTATGGTGGAATCAGGTCAGTTTCCTGATGCGGTTACATACACTTCATTGATGAATGGGATGTGTAGAGAAGGGGATGTGTTGGGTGCAATGGCATTGTTGGGGGAGATGGAATTGGAAGGATGTAGTCCAAATTCGTGTACCTATAATACGTTGCTTCATGGGTTTTGCAAAGGGAGAATGTTGAATAAGGGGATTGAATTGTATGAGTTGATGAAAAAGGGTGGTATGCAGCTTGAGGCAGCTTCTTATGCTACGTTTGTGAGGGCTCTTTGCAGGGAGGGTAGAGTTGCAGAAGCTTACGAGGTGTTTGATTATGCAGTAGAGAGTAAGAGTTTAACTGATGTTGCTGCTTACACTACATTGGAGAGTACGCTGAAGTGGTTGAAGAAAGCTAGAGAGCAAGGCCTTGCAGTATAGATGGTATGCTGCTGTTTACTACATGCTTAATTCTGTTTGCTTAGCTTTTCTCAGACTAACTCAATTCTTTTATGGGCAAATGCACTAGTTCAGTGCCCCCACCCCACCCACAATTAATCAGAACTGTGTCAAAGACTCTGTATTTGATACAGTTTCCCACATGTCAATAGCCAAAGGAAGAAATTTGTTAGAGATGATGCAATATTATGCTGACAGGAAGAAAGGGAATATCAAAGTTTTTAGTTGTTACTTAATTTTTAATGATTGGGAAACTATAAGTAAATATATCAGAATATGGGATGACAATAAGTAGGACTGTCTTATCTGTTTCCTTATATCATCGGGACTTAATAATTATGCTTGTTGATATAGCTTGCGCTGTGTTTCCTTTAATTGAAAAGAAGTTCTTGTCACCTTGTAATGACAGTCGTGTCACTGCACAAGAAGAACTAATATTGGCTCTGTTAATTTAGCCTTAGTGCTTGAATATCATTTGTCTGCATGCCACACAGAACAACGATACTATGACTCTTTCTTACTAGTCAGATTTTCTTGTTGCGGATAAAGTCCATGATCTGACCTTATTTCTGGGTTTTCCCGTGTGTTTAGCTATCTAATTCTACTACTTTAATTGGATTTCCTGTCCTTTTTTCCAAGAACTGCTAATTATCTTTGAGCAGTTAGATTCATTTGTTTTCTTTCTCCTTCACTTTGCACCATCAGAAGATCAAAACATAATCATGATTTTTCACTATTTGGGCTGCTTATAAGATGATCAAGGATCATTGTCCAGTATCACCTTACTTCCTCAATGCTTTAATTTGCTTCCGAAATTAATGCCTAAAGTTGAACCTGTTTAACACTCCTTGTAATACTGCCAAGCATACCATCACATGTAGTTTAGCTATGCAATCTGAATAGAAATTACATGTTTCTTTCCTGTTGTTTTCTCTACCAACTCTCCTGAGCTGATTCTTTTGTAGGTCTATTGTTGGTGGGAGATATCAACCAGATTTCATTGGCCAACTAAAAAACACCAAACAGAATACAAGCCTCTAATGGCTACAAATGGTGGTTTTGGCGAAACCAGGAGAGCTATGGCTGCTTGAAGGTTCTGCAAAGGTGATGTATCATACTCTTGATGCTGCCAACACATGTGAAATTAATGCTCGATGGACGAGAGAGACAGCACTTTGGCCACCTCATCCATTAACTACCTTTAGGAGCTGCTAAAACATAATGCTTCACCTTTGATGGAGTAATAAAATCTCCCATGAATCCCACCTGGACCCACTTGCATTGCTTAGCGTCAGTGTATCTTGTATTTAGTGGTTCAGCATATCAGTGTGTGCAAGTTTTGTAGAAGTTGATTTCCCATTGAATACAATATATATATAGCAAATCTCAAATGTCGGAAATCCTTAAATTGATATCTTCTGAACATGGATCTCATCCATGATTCTTTCCATTCTTAATTTCAGTGGTCAATGACTGAGCATTTTTTTACAATTTGGGGGTAGAATACCTTGAATAGAAGCTGGTAGTATTTACTAGTGTAATGTCAATTGTACTATGTCTTGAGTCCTATCTCAATACATTTGAGATCTTCATTGTGCTAGTGATTGTTGCAATTTGAGCAACGTTAAGGTGCTATTTTCTTGGTTGTGTTGATTTCTTGTGGATATCTTTATCTTTAAATGTTGCAGCCCTTGCATTCCCCTTAACCAAGTTTCTCATATATAAGGCTACTGGCCAGTGGCCTCTTATCACTAAGATAGGCAAAAGATATGACAGCCTTGAATGTGGATGCTATATACATGCACACCTAGCATTCTTAACACCCTTAATTTTTGTCCGGTTTTCGGCAGTCTGGGATATTGACCCAACATTAAAAAATGGTGCACGTTCCTTAGTGAATCAGAGGTTCGACAGGATATCTTCTTGCAGATTGATTATTCAACTTTCTTCAAAAGTTTCCCAGAAATGCATCTAGTGGCCAGTGCAATATTGTGAATTTGTCATGTGCGTTGCATTTATGATTTTGAATTGTAGCAATAATCTCGTGAAATCTCTAATGCTGCATTCGGCATTGCGTCTGGACGTTCAAATGGAAGTACTATTTGTTTTAGGCCAAATTTCGTATGCAGGCAGGAATGAGCTTCCCCTTTTATTTCTGCCTTGCAGAACATGTTTTAGGCTTAATGCGCATGGGCATTAATTTGGGACCCCAATCCTAAACGGGCTCCAAAAGGTATGAATTCCAGATGGACAACCCAAAAGAGATAGGTGAACGATCTCCTCATGCTTGTGCAAATAGAAATAGGGCATGAGATGATGTTCATGTAGCCTGTGATTAATCCTCTGTCTTTTACTGTACGAAACCCCCCACCCTCTCCCTCTCAAGATTTCATATAAGGTACATTGGGACTACAAGATTTGTCAGCCAGTAACATAAACATAAATAAATAAAAGAAAAACATAGAGCCTAATACTGTCTCCTTGTCTCCTAATAAATATTGATTTATTAATGGTGCAAACCTTAATGCCATATGGTACACCTTACTACGGAATTCATTGCCCATGAAGATCATTATGGTATAATGAATTTTGAATTAGAAATGTACCTCTCTTTATAAATCAAGCATATATTGCCGGTTATGACAACCTTAGATTCTTGCATCCTGAATGGTCCTTTTTTTTTTATGCAAAATTTTGTCTCATTTTGTCGTTATCTTTCTCTTTCTCCCACTTGGTCAGTTGGTTAGGTACCTTGATGAATTATGGGTTCTTTGAAATTAAACAATGATGCCATTGCCAGCTTTTCTTGTTCATATTTGAGTATATGACCTACTTACAAAGGATATAATTGAAAACTTTTGTCAAGTGTTATAGGTACTATCAATGATTAGGGGAGGCAAGGAGGCATATGCTTCACAAACTTTCATGGTTAATATTACCAATAATATAAAACCAAATTATATCTGTTATTGTTGCCCATTTCATGACCTCAAGATTAAAGAAAAATATTAGGGTTTGCAGTTTGCTGGCTAAAATTGTTACAAGAATCTTGCCACTGTAGGGTGAACCACATTGCCATCACATGAGCCTCCTTCTTAGGCATTGAATTAGCAGATAAATTCCTCATCGTTGTGTTCATATAAATAGAGTAGGACGCAACCTCCATTCAAAGCATTTACTTGTGATATTCAGCATTTGCATAGTAAGTAAAGATGGCTAGCTTATCTCCAATTAAATCTATCCCTCTTAGGTCCATTAGCTTGCCTTCTAGGTCACATCTAAATTCCCTCAAAATTGAAGCTCAGCTAACCAAGCTGAAAGCTTGGGAATCATCTACAAATCCTTTAGCAGCTGAGACTATTCGAATGAGTTTGACTAAGCTAGCTGAGTTGTTTAATTGCATTCAGGAACTCATTAACTCACCACTCACCCAACAAGCTTTTCACCACCAACATTTGAGTCAAGTGGAAGAGGCACTTGAGGGTTCGGTTGGCTTATTAGACGTGTGTAGCATGGTAAGAGACTTGTTCTTGACAATGAAAGAACATGTCCAGGACCTGCAGTCCACGCTACGTAGGCGTGGGGCTAGAGATTCAAGCATCGAAAGTAATGTTCATTCTTACATTAGCTTCAGAAAGAAGACAAAGAGGGAAATCACCAAGTCCATTAGAACATTGAAAATAATGGAAAGTAGTGTTAACAGATCCTACCGTCTCAACGGGGATGTAGACAATCACCTATCGTATGTTATTGAAGTCATAAGAGAAGCAAGGGCAACTACGATTTCAATCTTCCGATCTCTAGTTCTATTCCTATCCATTCCAGAAGGGAAGACAAACACCACCGGTGGATGGTCGATGATATCAAAACTGATACGTTCGGGGTTGCTAGCTTCTGATAAAGGTCAGAAGAATTTCAACGAAGTTGGGACTGTTGACGTTGCTCTATGTTCCATCCATGGAAAAATAAGGAAAAATGATGCCAAGGTTGATGTGCAAGAAGTGCAAAGGAGATTAGAGACACTTGATCTGTGCATCAATGGTTTTGATGCAAAATTAGATTGCATGTTTAGATGTTTAATCCAGAGTAGAGTGTCCCTTCTTAATCTTGTTACTCCTTGAATGACGTTCTTTTCTACATCAAACTTGTCATGGCATCCACATTTTAAAGGATAGGTCCCTGTACAGGGAAAGAAAAAAAAAACGAAATTTGTAGAAGAATTAATGAGCAATACTAAGATTTAAATGCTATCCAAATTAATTAATTAATTTTATATTATTATTATTATTATTTCCCTTTTTATTACACATTATTATTTTGATCAATACTATCTTTCTTCATTACTGTTTTTTCTTAAGAAAAAACAATGAGAATAAAAAAATGTTATGAAATAATGAATATCTATCATCATGTTCATCTACTTTTTATATCCATATTACTCATGTTTCTTAATATGATTCAATTCATTATTCAATATGAAAAATTGAAAGGGTGATGCAATTTATTATTTATAGTCCTTTCCAATTCTCTTCTCAAAGTTGAAGCCTATAAATAAGCTTGATTATTCATTAGTTGGTGTACAAGTTTTCTAGAGAGAATAAGAGAAACTTTGAAGTTCTTATCACTTATATTCACATTATAGTGATTTCATTTTCTTATCATCCTTTCCTTCAATTCTCCTATTATTTCTATTTATTTTATAATACGTTATCAGCATGAAGCTCTAACCAATCAAGATAATAGACCATGAGGTATGTATCTATCAAATGATTTAATCAATTTTTTCAACCATTGGATTTCTTTTACACAAGTGTTTTACCAAAAGATCTAAATTATTTAGATCATTAAAAGGTTTGTACCTCATTTATCATGTACTTTAAATATAATGATATATAGAATATATGTTTGAAAAACTTAAATGGTTTAATATATAGAATCTAATGATGTAATATATGTTGTTTGAAAAGCTTTAATTTTGTTATTATGTTTGTTCTTATTTTCTAATATTATTATTATATATTACATTATAGAATTTTTATCATATCAAACCTCATAAACTCGATTTTGTGGCTCTTGATATTTCGAATAAGAATTACCGATTATGAGTGCTTGATTCTGAAAAAATATTCTCTACTTTTTATGTTTTGAATATGCTCTTGCAATAGCAATATCGAGAAAAAGAATTTAAAAAATATTCTGAATCGATTTCATATTTGCTCATGGCTAAATAAAATGACAAGCTATTGATAAAAATGAATAAATTTCATCCAACTAGATTTACTCCATTCCCCGAAGTGAATGTGACAACTTATAATAACTTTGGGCATGGACAAAGATGTGATCATGGCCATGGACGTAATCAAAATAGTTATCATTATAATTGCGATGATCATAATATTACATCTCACCGCTGAAGTGGATAATTATGAAAAAAAAAGAATAAAAATAGATAAAGTCGGTATTCTAAAAACCAAATATTATAGATGTGGAATGAATGAATATTGGTCGTATACTTGCAATACACCAAAGCACCTCATTGAGCCTTGTCAAGCCTTATTGAAAAATAAATAGTAAAATATGAAGGCTACATTTATATATCAAAATAATAGTAATTGAAATTAATTACTTGTTAGTTTTTCTATTTATAAATAAAATATTTTATATTTCTTATAATTTATATCGTATAGTGATGGTTATAAATTTATTTTACTAGTTATTTATTTATTTGTGTTTATGAGGAATATATTTATTTATTTTGTATTGATTTATTTGATTATTTATTTTATGTTAATATTATATATGATAATATCAATTTAATAGAAAGTTCTAGAAGAGCGACTATATTATTATCTAAAAAGATAAATTTGAAGGCTCTATAAGAACGATTATATTATGACTCGAAGAGAAATTTTTGACGCTCTAAAAAAATGAATATATTATTACTTGAAGAGATAACTTTTAAAGGCTCTAAAAGAGCTAATATATTATTACTTGAAGTGATATAATTTAAAGGCTCCGGAAGAGTAAATATATTATTATCTAAAATGATAAATTTTATTATAAATTATGTACTATTCTCTTTAAAGTCTCATATAAATTTGTTGAGTGTCAAATATATTCATCTAAATTGATGTCATATCAAGATAGCAAATGTGAATACTTATATATATAATCATTAAACTCGGGTATAAAATATGTACTGAAAAATTTACTCGATTTCTCTTCTATATTTATTACAAATATTGAAATAATTGAAACAAATGTTATAGTAAACCGTAATTTGCTAATTCAAATATATTTATTATGTGGTATGACCAATTGTGTTATCTTGGGTCTTTCATAATGCAAAAAATTATTTAAAATTCATATGAATATCTATTGAAGAGCCATAAGATTCTTTAATTCAATGAATTTTTATGTTCCGCATGTTGTCAAGACAAATTGATGATTAAGTCATCACCAAGTGAAATTGAGATTGAATCTCTAGTATTTTTAGAATGTATTAAAAGTGATATATATGGATCATTTCATCCACCATGTGGACCATTTAAATGTTTTATGATTTTAATAAATGTATTCATAAGATGATCACATATATGCTTATTATTTACTTAAAACCCGACGTTTTCGAGATTGCTAGCGAATAATTTAATTTTGAGCATAATTTTTAAATTATGCCATTAAAACAAGTCATCTTGATAATGTTGATGAATTTATTTCTCAAGCATTAAATTATTATTGATTGGCTATTAGAATAAGGTTAAACATCTTGTTGCTCATGTTCATACTTAGAAATGTTTAGAAAAATTATTTATCAAAAGGCTCCAATTGATAGCTAAATCATTATTTAAAAATAAAACTCCTTGTTTATGTTTGGGGATATGCAATCTTACATGCAACAACACTTATTCGCATTAGACCCATAAGTTATAAAAAATTATCTCTTCTTCAATTATTTATGGTCATGAGCCAAATATTTCTTATTTAATAATTTTTGATATTACAAGTATATATCCGTAGTGCTCCTCCGTAACGAACTAAAATAAGCATTTAAAGGAGATTGAGAATATATATTGGATTTGAATCCTCTATGTTAATTCAATATCTTGAGCCATGAATAAGAGATATTTTTACAGCTCAATTTATTAGTCGTCATTTTGATAAAACAGTTTTTCCAACATTAGGGAGAGAGAATATACAAAATGAGCAAGTTGGAAATGTTAAAAAAGAGATTACATGGAGTACTCTATCTTATGTCATTTTGATTCTCGTACACAATAATGTGAACTAAAAGTTCAAAAGATAATTTATTTATAAGGTATTACAAACCAAATGCTAGATGCATTCTTATATTCTAAAAGAGTAACTAAAATGCATGTCCTAGTTGAGAATGCTTCTATTAGAATTGATGTCCTAGAAGGACAATCTATTAATGTTATAGCTAATGAATCTAAAGCATGCCCGAAGCGTGAAAGACCGATCGGTTCTAAAGATAAAAATTTCTAAAAGAAAGGGCAAGATGAAAATATAAAATATGTAAATATTCACAAAACGATCCAAGATATTTATGATAATAGGCTTCTAGAAGAAGTCCAAATGCTTGTGAAAAAGATTTTGATAAATTATATCAATACGGAGAGAAAATGGAGTCGAAAAGAAATATTTATTGATAAAATTTTTACATATAATGTTGTAATTGATATTTTGAATGAAAATAAGGACTCGAGCCAAAATTTATTGAAGAATATTAATATAAAGATGATTGGTCTAAATGAAATGAGCAATCCGGTAGAATTATGTTCTCAAATAAAAGAGTAGTTTTTTGAACTCATACCTAAAACACCCGAAGATGTTAAGCTAGTGGGATATAAATGAGTATTTTTACAAAAACAAAATAAGAAAGATGATATTATGAGATACAAAGAAAGACTTATAGCATAAGAGTGTTTACAAAGAACCGACATTGATTATGAGAAAACATATGCTCCTATAATGGATGCAATTATATTTTATTATCTCATTAGCCTAGCAAAATATACAAAGAATATTAAGTTCGTCACTAAATAGGGACAAATGGAGTTCGTCACTAGCTCTCGAGGGGGGAGGGGGAATAGCCCCCTCCCCCAAATTCTAGCGATAGACTAGCGAGTCCGTTGCTATTTTGGGAGGAAATTTCCTCCCAAAATAGAAAATGGTGATGGATTCGGGTCCATCGCTATTTTGCCTTTGTATACCACCCTCCTTCTTCTTCTCCATTTGTTTTCTTCACCTCCACCACACCTCCCCTTCCGGCACCGACCAAAAAAACGACCACCCACGCCGCCCCACGCTTCTAAATCATTTTCAAAAGCATTCAACAAAGTAAAGGGTATCTTTCTCTCTCAAAATCATATTATATCCGTGCTCTATACCCTTGATTTATTAGGTAAAACTTTTTCGCACAAACTTTTATATTTTTTTTAGTTAGATAAATGTGATATAATTTTAGTTAAATTTTGTTATTTATTAGTCTATTATTTGTGTGAATGTTGTTAATTATCTTGTTATGTTAATTTGTATGTAGTAGTTTAAATTTGTTAGTTGTTATTTTATTTTTATAACTATTAGATTTGTTTTGCTAAGTTTTATTTTGATGTTCTTTTAATTGTTAGGTTAATTTGAATGTTAACGTAAAGCTTAAAAATTTAAATTTTGTTAATTTTGAGTTGTTAGATTAAAATTTAATTATTTAATCCTAAATTGTTAGTATAATTAATTGAATTAATTATATATTTATTTGTTTATAGTGTTATAGGTTAATTTGGTTAGTTGTTTGTTTAAACGTAATTTTGAAGTTATATTATTTTTTTACGTAGTTTAGTTAAATTTGGTTGAAGTTCTATAATTTTTGACGTAGTTTAGTTAAATTTGGTTGAAGTTCTATAATTTTTGACGTAGTTTAGTCATTTCAAATGTCAATTTTATAAGTAATTTTATTAGTTTAATTATTAAAATTGAAATAAGATAACATGCATAATGATTTGATTGATTCGAAAAACAATTGAATAAAAATGTAATTAAACAATTAAAATAAACGTTAAAATTTTATATATTGTTTATTAATTAATAGAATTAAATAAATATTTTAGTTGAATATTTTAAAAAATTATTTAGGTTATAATGTAATTTAACGAGTTTTAGGTTCAAAAAGTATAAAATTTAATGTATTTTAAGTGAAAATGATAATGTAATTACCTTAAATTACTTTAAAAATGCTAAAAATTCATAAATATTTTATTAACTAATATAATTAAATAAATATTTTAGTTGAATGTTTTCATAAATTATTTAGGTGATAATGTAATTTAACGTTTTTCGATTCAAAAAGTATAAAATTTCATGTATTTTAAGTGAAAATGATAATGTAATTACCTTAAATTACTTTAAAAATGTTAAAAATTTATAAATATTTTATTAATTAATAGAATTAAATAAATATTTTAGTTGAATGTTTTCATAAATTATTTAGGTGATAATGTAATTTAACATTTTTCGATTCAAAAATTATAAAATTTCATTTATTATTTAGCTTGAAATCTAGATTTCGGAGCAAAAGGAGACTATTTGTAGCATGAAGTCTCAATACGATTCGATGACATCCTTACCGATGCAACCGGTATGAACATCCGGGTTTTCCGTAGATCCGTCAATCATTCAGCAATCTATCGGTCCTTCCACTCGGCCTCCGGCCGATCCTCCAGTCGAGCACTCAATACGAGCATGAGGATAAGGATATGGAATTAGACGAGCAAGATGAGTGATATAATATTCAATCACTTTGTTGTTTTTTTTTTTTTTATGAAACGTATCCTAGAATAATTTTGTTAATATTATTTTATTTTTCATATATTATTAATTTTAATTATTAAATATCATATTAATAATTTAATTTTTGAAAATGTCAACAAAAGTGAAGGAATTGAGAAAAAATCATTTTCGAAAATAGCGACGTGTTGGCGATGATTTTGTTTTTCAGAATAGCGATGGATTAGCGATGAAATAGCAACAGATTTATTTTCAAAATTAGCGACGGAATAGCGATGGATTAGCTAGGAAAAAGAAAAGCCATCCTACGACAAGTTAGCGACGGATTGAGTATTTCGTCGCAAAAATTTAGCAATTAACAAAATAGCGACGGAATATGATCTCGTCACTATTCATAATTAGCGACGGAATTATAGCGTTTAGTGACGTAATATTGTGTGTAGATGCACAGTTGATTTCTAATAAAATCAATAACTCTAATGTTATTATTTTTTATACATCATGACCGTACTCAATAGATGAGAATGCATAAAATGAATTTTAAAAAATTAAATATTAAAATATATATTGAAGTTAATAGAGTACAAGTAAAAACTATAAAACTTATTTAGATAAAATTTGATTATATAAAAAATAAGAAAATAAAATACATATATTAAATTTTTAAAATTTTATAAAAATTAAACAAATAAAACAGGTATAAAAAAAAACTTATTCAATTTGTGTGGAAAAAAAAACGATTGATTTTTCAAAATGTTAACACCTAATTAAATAAAAAAAGAATATACATTGATGGGGAAAAAAAAAGCAATGGAAAAATAGAAAAGAAAATATATGTGTAGTGCAACGAGTTAAGGGATTAAAATTTTTATTTTAAAATTTTATAGATCAAAATGAAACAACTTGAAGGTTAAAAAAAAAAAAAAAACAACAGAAATGACTAATGATTAATTAATTTATTTTATTTTATTTTATTTTTTTTTATGAATGAATGGTACTTTGACGCCACTGCTGATCATAGAAGGGAATGCATGATTTTCGATCTTGTGAGATTATAGCATTACTTCTTTTCTTATCCCCAGTTTTACGACTTAGTTAAGTTTTTTTTCTGATCAATTTTCGTTCGCCTCTTCAATCTAACAAAAGCAGCCAAAGAGAATATACTGATGGGTTAGTTTTAACCTGGATAATCCCTTTCGTGATAGCAGACGATATTTGTCTTACGACACATGAAAAGATTTCAACCTAACCAGTAGAAAATCAAGAGTTCTAATTTTGATCCTAATAATTAGAAAACGTCCTTAAAGTCTCCTGTTTATTCTTATTTTTTTTTAATTCTATTATATCTATCCTTAAAACTTTTTAAAATGTTGAATTTGTTTTTTCGATAAAATTTTCTAACTATATATTTTTTTAATCAAAATTCTCTTTATTAAAATATAAAAATATAAAAAATAAAAAAAATTAAAGTTACATTATCTATATATTCTATTTTAAAAATATTTAGAATTTTTTTTTATATTTCAAGGAGGGAAAAAATTGATTAGAAAGATATATATATCTAATCAATTTTTTTTCGGGTTACAAATTAATTCAGACGTAATCTTTTTGCAAATTTTTTCAGCAAACTTTTGGCGCAAGAGTCAATTATTAAGGAGCAAAATCTGGACAATCACATAATTAAAGAGGGTTAATGCATGCGATCAAACGTCATGAAAAAGTGATACGACAATTTTGAATCTTCAGAAAACTATATCAGGCCCTCCAACCATTACTAATGTTTCAATTAGTTCCCCCAAACTACTAGAAGTCACAATTGTGCCATTAATCGATCCGCCATGATTAAAACAATGTGAGACACACATAAGAAGATGTGCATGACACTTTCCCACCATAAATATTTTTTGTGAACACACTTTATGGCTTACATGTGAAACCTTAGTAATAATAAGCTTAAAGAAATTTAATGATTTATTTTGTTTTAGCTATTTTAATTTAGGGTTAATCAAATTAGGTAATTGAGAAAACTCTAGAGGTTTTTTTTTATTTTTTTATTTTATTTTTATTTTTTTATTTAATGTCACTCTTAAACATATGAACACTAAAGTGTGACAAGATTCTCATTGGTATTGCATATAGATTGTGATTTTGATATTTTTTTTAATTGATAATTATTAGAGGATAGAGTTTCGAGTGTTTAGTGGAATCTTATTACTTAATTTCTCATTTCACACGAAAGTGTACGTGGTAAGAGCCAAGGTGGATTTTAACTTTCAGCTTACCTTCATAATCTCTATTGGTTTTGTTGCACTTCATCAAGAGAGTGAGGAAGAGAGGGAGGGAGGGAGGGCTTAATTACAACCTTTGGTAGTTGAGGAACTGAATGGAAATATTTTTTTTATGATTGTTGTTGGCTGCAGGTGTAGTTTGTCGAAAAAAATCTTTTAGTTGTTCTTGGAACTTTTTTTTTTTTTTTCAACAATGAAGGAGCTATAATCCGCATTATTGCACCAATGTATGCACAGATAGATTTGATTTTTGTGATTTATGTAATAAAAATAGCATTATTTTATTAAGTCCCTTAAAAATTTTCGTTAAAACATGATTCAAATATTTGGTAATAATCTCGTTTGTAACACTGAAATGGAAAATATGATGCAAATCTTTCAAGGGTACATACAAAAAAGCATCTTGATAAATATTTGATTTGATTTTATAGAAAATATTGGTAAGATCTCAAAAGATCGATCATCTCTTATAACTAGACTTATAGCACATCGATCAAATATTCACATACAAGAAGGTTAATTACTAATCATGGAAAAGGAAACTAAATCGTAAGAATCAATATATAATATCCGTAATCATATTTGATATTGATTTGATGTAGCAGCCGTCCTACTTAGATTATAAGCACCAATGGAGTCTTGTTTTTTTAAGCATATATAAAATCAAGAGAGAAACTGTTATGAAAAAGCCCTGATTATCATTTCACTAAGTTGTTTCAATTTTCATCTACCTATCACTAAACCCCATGTCCACGGATGCTACCACCAGCGCTCCGACTCCTGTTCCTACTCCTAGTACTCCTAGTCCGCCACAGACGGTTAGACTACAAATTTGATCTTTTTGGGTTTTAATTTTACAATTTTAATCCTTTGTTATTAATTATAGTTAGTGACAATGTTTTTGCATCATTCATGGATTTGCAGGTTTGTGAACTTCAAGTGGACACTCAATCTCCCGGATGGCAGAAAACGCTGACCAAAGTATTGAAAAGTATTGAAGGTACGTAATTTGTTTTCTTCTTTGCCTTTCCTTTCCTTGTTTCTTTCTCTCTTTCTTTATTTTTAATTTTTCTTTTATTTCCCTCACTTTTGCGTATTTACTTGTTTTTGTTTTTTTTTTTTAAATAAAAATAAAAAATCCAAGAAGTGGAGGGTGACCTTGATCTGATCATATCAGTATGAGGAATCTTCACATCTTAAATTAGATTTAAGTGCTAGTTCATACTGGATCACATTAATTTATTTGTGTTTTTATTGTTCTAAAATGTGTTCTAAGGACACAAGATGAGAAGGCATTAAAATTTTAGAATCTTAAAGTTATGTTAAATCACTACTACCTACATGTGAATTTAAATCTGGATTGAGTCTAAAATGTAGAAATCAGTAAAATACTAATGATGTGTGATAGATAATTAGATTTGAATAAGGTAATGAAAAGTATCCATATCACATTCCAATCTAATAGCTCTACCATGCATGCATGATCGATGACATTTAACCCCCTTAAATCTGATTCAACTACAGAAAACGATAGCATGTGCCCTAAAATTCGATGCTAATCAAACCGTAAATGTTTAATCATATATGTTTCGATCATCATGTTCTTGGAGTAATTTCATATTTAAGTCAGATTAATTAGTTCATAAAATATATACTAGATTATCATGCTATATATGGTCTGTCTCATTCTACTTATAAGACGTACGACTCCAACCAAATCCATATGTGTTATAGCATTATAGTGTTTAAATTGTTAATATTTGATTATTGAGTTAGAAAGCTGATCGTGTTGATCTTTTTTTCCATGTTCGTATTCTTGTGCTAGGGTTATCTTTCACCATAGATGCAAGCCGAGGGCGTGCAAGGGTCTCAGGAACAATAAACCCTAAAAAACTTCTGCTAATTCTAGCCAAAGCAGGAAAACATGCAGAGCTTTTGTGGGTTCACCATGCAAATAACCATGACAAAGTGCAAGGCTATAATACATATACGAACACACCTATGGTTTATGGAAATGGCTACGAATATTACTATGATTATCCATATAATAATTTATATGGAGGAATGAACTATTATATGGATGATCCTCAACAGGCATATTTGTACTCACTCTGCCAAGACTACTACCCTCCACTGTACCACCCACCCTACTCATACTATGAGCAACCAGCCATGTATTTCCCCCAGGCGCCACCACCAGTGCGGAACCAAAGGCTTCAATCTTATTGCAACATGATGTGATCTATAGGGGTTATAAGATGCTGCCTTGTGCTTTAAGTGCACAGGTCTCTTTTCTGTTTTTCATGTCTTCTCCAAATTTATGTTGGAGAATAAGTTCGGACTTTGGACCATATGCTATCATGCTTCTCCAAGCTCTCCAAGTTTTTATGTGGAGAAGTTTGAGATAGAAGTTTGCAATGATGCAATTAATTATTTGGTGTGGAACTTTGAGAGAATATTTAAAAAAACTTCTCTCTGTTCTTTTTAAGTGGCATTATCTTCTTTGTTATGGTATCTTGTTTGCAAACCAATTGCAATTGTGATCATAAGTAATTTGATTCTATAGAAACTATTGCAATTTAGAGCTGCTAAAGGGAATAATTCATTGTCCGACCCCACTGCGCCAAGATTTCGGATGTCCAAACCTGATTGAAGGCAAAGACTTGATAATGTGAGATCAAAGCGCATGTTAAGGAAGGGTAATGCTTTCCTTTGCTGATGGTCCCCAAGAAGCATCAGGGCATCTGCAACTGCATAGCTGATTAGGCCAATGTTGCTACGTTGGGGTCTTGGGTTTTTTCTGTGTTGTTCCTTAAGCACCGAAGAAAGAGTAATCATCCCAGCAACCAACTGTATTGTCACTATCATTACGTACGGTTTTCAATACTTGATGCAATTGGGAGCTAACATCGCTGATGTGGTGTCATTGATTCCTATTACAAGCCTAGATTCATGGCCATGGATAAATGTTTATGAATGGAGTCTATTAAGTTCTAACAAACATATAATTAAGTATTCCATGAATAGGATTGAATTAAGTCAGAGAGAATGGTGCTTGCAATATCAGGAGAGGCAAGGAGGCACACTGCACAAATGCACTGTAGAATGTATTTCTTGCTTTCCTATTCGTGGAAGTTCCAGAATGTTATCTTCTCCTAAATACATGACCATAAGATTAAATAAGGATTTAGCTGTTGCAGATTGTCAGATAAATTTGCTAGAATAGAATCAGAAAAGCAGTGCACGTACATTATTATCATATGGATGGTGCTTCTCACGAATAGGTCAAGATTACTTGCGGAACCTGGAACCTTGGCCTTGAAGAATCACCTTTGTTGAGTAATTTCACTTCATGAAAAGTTTAATGGCAGGCTAATATAGATGTCATTGCATGCAAATTCCTGCTTAGACCATCAGCTCAGCTTGGTCCTGCTTCTCCACAACTAACCTCATTTCACTTCTTATTTTGACTTGTTTAATGCAATTTACAGTTCTTATGGCGGTTCTAATTGAGACAGACCATGTAACCCAAGATGCAGAAGATGCATTTTTTTGGTTGAAACTGAAGAGGGTAATGTGGCAGTAGGAGAGGCAAAAATGGCGATGACTCCTCTTATATTTATAACAAACACAGAAATGACAATATAACAGGACACCTCACGATCATCCCATAACCTTCAATGTCAATGAATTAAAAATTGCTTACCATTCTGTTGGCCAAATATGTGACAAGGCAACCTAATTCAAAGAAGAGCCCACACTGACCAGTGACCTCACATGCTCACCACATTTCCCTGGAATATTGCTGTCTACTTTCATTACTTCTTGTGTTTCCATATAAGAAGAACCACATCATTGGCTAAGCATCAGTTTCACACCATCTCTAAATACAAAACATCCAGTAAAATAAATAACAGATAAAAGCAACAATGGCTCGTAAATACCATGTTAGATCAATTAGCTTGCCTTCAAGATCACATCCTACAACACGTTCATAAGAAACTTGAGGCTTTGGTGATCAGCATTGAAGATGTCGAGAACTGTATGGAGCGAGTGTTCAGGCCCTTAATTAAAACAGTAGCCTCTCTTTTCACACGTTCATACGTACAGTCCTGATCAATCCTCCGTAGCCATCCAAATTTTAGGGGACCAGCTACAGGTCAGCATTGAAATCGAAAGCTATGTGCAAACAAATTATGTAACTAATATAATGAAATTCAGACAGGTTTTATGATCCATACTTTGATGATTTCTTTCCCTTTCTTGCTTTCCGTCTGTTGATTGAAAAAGGGTCAGGGAAAAAAAAACTAAAATAATTGAACTCTTTTCAATGTTTATTGTAGTTACTGACCCATTATCACTATTCATTGAAACCGTTTTTTTTTTTTTTTTTTTGGGGGGGGCTGGTCAGGACTTAAAGGCTGGAGCCTGCAGAAGCAAACCCAGGGGCGTAGGGCTGGCCTCACGAGCAAGATTGACCAAGCAGGCCCAGATTAACCTGGCCTAGCACGGGCCTGCACAAGTAGACCCAAATGCACGGGCCTGACTTTTTTTAATATATATATATATATATATATTATTATGTAATTAGGTGTGAAAGTTATATAAAATATATCGTTATTTTTTTAGTTTTTTATATAATATGACGATGATGAAATATATACAATATGTTTTAAGATTTTAAGTTGAACATATAGATTAGATTATATTTCTTTAATTTATCATTTCTTATCAAAATTATCATAAATGAGAATTTAATTTTTTGGTATATATAAAGTGTGTTTTTGAGAATTTGACTCGTTTTGTTTTTAAATATTTAAATAATCAATTAAAAAAATAAAATTCATGAATTTTTTTTTAATTTTATATATGATCAAAATTTATTAGAACCAATTTTGTAATTGTTTTTATTTCAATCTATTGACTTCAATATATCGAAACACTTTAACTATATATATATATATATATATATATATATATATATATATATATATATATATATATATATATATATATATAGAAAATTAATTATGTACATGCATATATAACACTAATTATTTGTTATTTATTTTTTTCTATATTCTAAAATTAATATTTTCAAATAAAATAATTGAAATAATTATTTTTATGTTAATATTATTGATTATTTTTTAATAAATATATTTAAATCAAATGATTTCGCTTAATAGATAAATTCGATTTACATTAATAATAAAAAAAAGGACTTATATCCACATTGTATCATACGAATTATTAATCCTATATATATATAAGGGTTGTTTGGCTATATCGTAACCTAGGTATCTAACTAATAACATTTTTCTAACTAATAACATTTTACTATAAGTGGAATGTTAGAAATCTTTTTATGGGCTGTTTGCTGAACCTTCCTGGACTTGAACCCTTGCCGAGCCTTTCTTGGGAGTTCATTTTCACCTTTCATTAAGCGTTAGACTAGTCCACGTCAAAAATGGTGGTTAATCACCATGGTAGTATGCCCATTCCCTTGCTCCCACTTCTTTTTCTCTCCCCCGCCCTCTTTTTATTTATTTTTTTTAATGTGGAATTCTTTCACTCTTAAGAGTAAATTATAAATTAGTTCCTTTAGTTTTAAGAATAAATTAATTAGTTCCTTTTTTAAAAAAAAATTATTTAATTATTTAATTAATATTATTTTGTTTAATTTAATATTATTTTTATTTTATAAATTTTTTTATTTTTTCATCATCTTTCTATATATTTTTTATTTTTCTATTTCTTAAAATAAAAAATAAATTAATTTAAAAAAAAGAGCTAAATTATTAGTAAATTTTTAAAATATAAAGATTAAATAATTAATTTTTAAAACAATAATGATTAATTAATTTGTTTATCAGCTAATTTATAATTTACTCTTTCTTTTAACAGTCTTTTTGACGTGCAACCATCAGAGATTGCCAACACATATCATCTTCTCTCTCCAGATGCCATTGTGTCTGGTCCACCTCTTTAATACGTAGGTGTGCTTGTGCTCTTTTTTTTGCTCTAAATTCATTTTTCACTCTTTCTTCACAATGATCTTCTTTCTTTCTTGACGTCTGGTCCCTCTTATACTACACCACCTATTATGCAAGAATCCATCTTCTTTTTGTGGGTTATCAGCTGGCAAAGGGCCCCTTCTTAAGCTCCTCCTCTTCTCTTTCTCTTGGTATAAAGTCTCAATTCTCTTCTTAGACTCCATCAACCTGCATCTCCATTTTTTTTTTTTTTTGGGTTTTAGGATCTGTTTGGGTTCTACTACCAATTGGTAGGGGTAGAACCTGACTCGAAGTCTAATATCATGTTAGAAATCTTTTTTATGGGCATTCTCGAGCTTTAGGCTGAACTTTCTTGGGCTGCTGAGACTTCTTGCTTGGGAGTCTACTTTCAACTTTTTTTCAGTGTTGGGCCAGTCTACACCAAAATGGTTAATTGGTTAACCACCTTAGTATTACCAACTTCTATTTATATCTTGCCCTTCTCTCTTTCTAACACGGAAGATATCATTGTCTTGGATATCTAAACATGTAGCTGTACCGTCAACTAATCATAATCTCAGGCAGAGAAAAGGTAAGAAATTGCCAAACGACATATGTGAATATGTGCGTCCTGAATTCTTTTACAATAATCCTTACACCTGCTCCAATCTGCATTGCAGTTTTCTATCCGTTTGCTAAACTGATTGATCTTGTTTTCACTTTCAAGAATCTTTTAATCTAAACACTAAGACTCTTAATCACTTGCTAAACCGATCTAAAAGTTTTATTCTAATTAAGTCTTTTGATCTTGAATTCAAGAGTAGTAGAAGCTTCATCAGTAGTCAATTTCTTGAAAATTCTAACTCTGAATATAACAGTCTGTCTACCATGACGATGAAATACATGGAGAGATGGTTTTTCATCATTAAGTCAAAACTATATCATAATAGCATTGCTACTATAGATATGCAATCATGGTTCGAAAACCCTTTAATATGGTCAGTTTAAGATTCCAATGATGCAAGCTAATTTTAGCCATTAATCTTTACCATTTATGCCTTTCTTCGTAAGTCCTTTGACGAGACCGTTATATTTTACTTCCTGATGGAAAGTTTGTAGTATTATCACACCAGGGATGCCTAGATGATCGAAGAGATATAATTCGAAAATACAGAGTCGCTAATCAATTATTTTTTAAAATTAAAAATTAAGAAAAATCTCACACTGGTCATAAAAAATTTAATTAAGGGAGTTAATTGCATAGCTAGAATAGACTATAGGGATCATAATATGTCATCGAAATAAAGTTAACTCGTATTTCTAGGCTATATAATTTTATTTATGTAAGTTCATTTTATGTCCACTTTTTCATTTGGACGAATGCACCAACAAATTTATTTTATTTTTTTCTTACCAATTTTTGTAGTAATGATAAGTATAGGTCGAACCTTAGAGATTGGATAATCAATTTAGTTTATTTAAATAAAAAAGGAGATTTGTTTGTGTGCAAAGCCGAAATTAAATGTAATTCAGAAATCAAGGAATAAAAGATTCAATTTAGGAAAACTTCAGTTTAAAGAGGGAAATTCAAATATTCAATTTACGGATTAATCATCAACACCTAAAGTACTATTCTTTCATTGAATACTCAGCCTATATTTACCTAGACACTAGAATAAATCCAAATCTTTCTTAAATTTGTTAACTCAAAACTTCACGTCCGAATTAAATTTTTATTATCGATTGATTCCTCGTATTGATACAATCCTACTCTAAGCAACAATAACATTAAGAATTAGGAAGATAGCTAAGATTAAACAATAATTTAAGGATGATAAATCATTTTATTCATCATTTTATTTCTCTTAGGTAATCAAACCTAATTTTTTTACTTCTACTAACTTTTCTTAACAATTATAGATTAAGAGAGTTAGTTAGTTATCAATCACAATAGACAATGAAATAATTGGCCACCTTAGACAATTACCTATGTAGTCATGATTAATTAAATTCAAAAATCAATTAATTAAGCTCAAAGAAACAAAAGACACCCAAATGATAAAGAATAGTTTAAAGATCAAACTCGTGTCTCATAATTTTTTGTAAATTGAAGTTGAAATCCTTTGAAATGAATTGATAAAATTAACTAGACATTATTTGAAGCAATAAACCCTAAATTATACCAAAAGAAAAAAAAATATCATATAGAAAAGTGTCTCCCTAACGTGCAACCTCTAGAGGCTATTTATACATTTCAAGAGATAAATATAACGACCAACAAAGTTCTATTTTAGTTAGCTTTCAAAATTGACTACGAGTTGTTACTAAATAGGACTCTAGGTTATATGCTGAAAATTCCAAATTGATTTAAGGTCAAAAGGCACTAGAATCTAGAATTGGCCTCTTCATGAAGCTTGTTGGAATGGATGTTTTATTTTTGTAGGATATTGAATCAACTTAATCCAATATATATAACTCTATATATGATTCAAGCACTATGCGAGTGTTCTAGATATTCACAAAATCCAAATTCAAAACCTTAAGATGTCCACTTTGATTCTCAATAACACTTCGTTTATGTTCGAAGCTCCGAGGATGTGAAATCCCCATTTATTTCTTTAAAGGTTAATATGCCAAAATTAGAATTTTCCCCAAATTAATACACTTTTGCTTACTCCAATCATTCCTAAATCATAAAATAAATTTAATTCAGCATATATAATCTAAAAACACATCCAAAATACTAAATATAAGATAATAAATATCATCAATAATGCTAATTATCAAATTTCCTTACACTTAGCTTTTGCACATTCTTGGATAAAATACTAAACTAAAACTCAATAATAACTCTTCAATAATATCAAGACTCGTGAATTCATAAGCAAAAAAACAATCAAAATTCTCAAGAACCATAACACTTCATGAATCAACATCTTTGGCAACTTAAGAATCAATCAAGACAATAATTTTCATTCAAAATGGAGTAAACTAAATTGGTAAATCCTCATATATTAAAATCTTTGACTCTCAAGTGTTTAGGGTAAGTGTTTTTCATCGCCTCGGTAATGGGCAATGATTAGCACGAGAATCATGGGAACCGTGAGGCTTACCTCGATCCAAGCAAGCCTCGGATACTAATCTAAAATCTTCAATTCATTATTAGACTTATACTATAATCCTCAATTTATAATATCTCTTCAAATTCATTTTAATTACCATTAACCCAACTTAATAAATATTTCTTATAGCCTTAATAAAATTCATAATTCAATGTTCATATTCAATTCTAATACATTTCCCACAAGTTATAACTCGCAAAGCTTTTAAAAATACATTTAAAATAAACATATGTTCTAGGAATTACAATTAAAGTAAGTCATATGATCAATTTGTCGACTTCAAACAAGCGACCAAATGGAAGCAAAAAAAAACAATCCCTCAATATCCTACAAGACCGAAATAATAAAGGGTGAGTAATCGACAACTCGGTGATTAGATATTATATGACATACTAAGCGAAAGAAACATACTAAGAACGATAATTTAAAATTCAACTCAACATGCCATGCTAGTTTCTTCAAAACACATGCATATCGCAAACCAAATCATTTGTCATACTCAAATGGTTTAAAACCATTTCATATCAAATCATCAAGTTGTACATATATATCATATTCATATCAAAACACATATTTAGGTTTTTATCTACTTGTAGGGTAAATAACATATCATTGAGTGTGAATACTCAAAGGTCACGCCCTTCATAACTAGGTTTTCATATATTGGTCGATACATGAGGTAGCACTACACTTCTCTTACTAGTTGGAGCCTCGTATCATTGAGCTCAAAGGCTACACCCCCATAGCTAGGTTTTCTAGTGGTCTTAAAAACATTTTCGAAAACTAAACATACTTATACATTTTTCAAACTAGTATTTCAATTACCTTGCATGCTTTAAATCAAATAGATATTAATATGATTTCATACCAAATATGCATTTTCAAAAATTATATGAATAATCAAATAACAATTATAACACATTCATTCAAATCTAAAATCACATATTCAAATCTCTTTCCAATTCATATTAGATCATTTTGATATGAAATCACTTCAAAATTCATGAAGTCCATTCCCATCTAAGTTATTATTGAATGTTTCTAAATGATACTTAAATCAATGATATATAATAGACATAATTCAAGGAATTTAAAACATAATATGCTATATAATATCCACTCACAAGTGTAACATAAAATCGAATGAGTTGAATGGATCAAGGTTATAATAGAGTCACCTATTTTAAAGAATCTAGCATCACAAGATGATGGAACATCTATCAATATCATACACCAAATAATAATCCAAATAATGAATTATTCTAGAACTAAAAATACAAGATTAACAACAAAAACAAAATTGATTGGAAGGACTCAAACCGATAACCTTAACTAGACTCCATGATCTCTCTCTATCAATTCTAAACAATTGCTTAACTAATCACATCATCAATTCTTAGTCCAACTATTAATTTTCAATTCAAACCTTAAACAATTAACTTTCAATTAAATAATCAATTCCATCCTAATTCATCCAATACTCATTCCATTTATCTTCAATTACATTTATATTACTTATTTCCTCATTTTTCCTAAATTCTTTTCAATTAAAACCTAAATTTTGAATTTTTCACTATTCATCATATTCAACCTCTAAATTACTCAAATTAATTTAATTCCACTTCAAATTAACTTCTCAAACTACTTACCCGATATAATTAAACATCATTTAGGTAATTATGATCACTTAGAATCACTTTTCCTCAAATAGGTCTAAAAACCCTAACCTTAATCTAATCAATTCTTCAAGCAAACCATAATCCAAATCAATTTCATTCTAATATCATTATTAATCACATGTGAACATCTCAATTCAAGGATGAATAGATAAAAAATCTTACATTTGACACTATGCTCTTCAATTCCTAAATCAA